CACGTCCTCGTCCTGACATCCTAATAAAGGTAACCAAGACCATTAGCACATTCACAAATGTGCCAAAGCTATAACACTCACGTCCTAATGCATGGACAACTGTAATTCACTCCATGTAAGCACATAATCGCACAAGCAATTACGAATTTCATTCTCGGATAATGATAGTCCCGAGGCGTTAATAGAGTTTCGGTTAGAAACAACATTGATCAAGTGCCTTTCCAACAAGACTCCCAGAAACCCAAGGATCCAATCAACATCCTAGAAACTACATTCCATACCCACATAGTCACATAAACATGTTATCATATAAGCACATAACACTACATCTAAGTCTCTATCAAGCGAGACAAACCCATTGTGATCCTAATCACTTCCCACGTACCCAAAGTATTCGAACCCGGTAGCTCTGATACCAAGTTGAAACGCCCTCAAAATAATACATAAAACCCATCACTTTAGACATGCGTTGATATAAAAGAAACTAACCAATTCTATTCATCAGAGTAGTTCTTACAACAATATTACATGTTAACAACAAAAGGGAATGCCCTATGGGCTTATTGCTTTCCAAGTCAACACCTGGTTACACAAAAGAAGAGTACTAACTCTATACAAAATAAACCCTTGGCTTGATATACATGTAATACAAACAAAATAAACAAAAAGAGTCTTCAACTCTCATCATCATCATCCAAGCTATGTCCTTGGAGGTGGCATACTACATGTACCTGAAAATAATGTCCCATATAGGGTGAGCCAACGCTCAGTAGAGATATGCTAAACACAGTATGAGCAGTAACTAAGACATTAGCAATTGATAAATGTTCAATTTCCATAAATCAATTCATAACTCATTTCCATTTCATGACCACTGTGTTCATGTTTCATTTCATTTTCCATTTCTTATCAATTTCACAATTTGCATTAACGGCTCAGAACCTGGCCAACCACTTATATGAGACAGTGACTCATATTAAACGTTTCCCATTTTACAATAGATAAACATACTAGTTGTATCAACATCTCAACAGATAAGCATTCAAGTTGTATCCACATTTTAACAGATAAGCATATTAGCTATATCAACACTTCCAAAGATAAGCATATGAGCTGTATCAACACTTCCATAGATAAGCATATAAGCTATATCAACACGTTAACTGACAAGCATATGAGCTGTATCAGTGGAGTCCATCCCCTATTTCCTTCTAAACAACATCCGGTTTAGAGGTCCATCTCCAATCTTCCCCTAAACCGTAGAGTACATCCTCTATCTCCTCCCACACACACAACGTATATACACATAGGTCATATACACAATCAATCAATACATAACGCTAATGTATTCTATTAACCGTCATACTCTATGACATATCCAATTGATTAGTTTTAGTTTGCCTAATCATCATGCTTTGTCTACAATAATCAAAACTACCCTCCATCGGTAGCCCAAGCAATTATTTCTAAGCAGATAATAAAAGCTCCAACAGATAACATATCAATGTTTTCAAAAGTGAGCGATTAATAAATCCAACTCCACTATTCTACTATAAAATGAGCCAATTTCATTATTTCCAACTCAATTCCGTATAACCACAATTTTCCCAAATTAATCATACCAATTAATTTATACAACCAATTAGGGTTTTTTACCCCATTTCCCAATATTGACCCAATGGTCTATATACCAACAACTAACAACAATTTCGTTATTTTGAAACCCAAAATACACATTTTAGAATCAAAATAGCAAAACCCCTTTTTAACATTTTCAAACACTAACTTTCCAAAATCAACCATTTAACAAAATGCCCAAAAATCTAGGTTAAAACCCATAGTAGTGATTAGGAATCCCTACCTCAAATGATGGAACCCAACGAAGAAGATGAAGGAAACAGAAATGCTCTAAATCCCGAGATTCTTGGATCAAAAGATAGCCCTCAACGATCAACAACCTTTTTGTAAAGGCCAAAGGAAAGGAGAACACCCTAGCTAGATCAAACCCTAGAGAGAAGGTAAGGTTCTAGAGAGAGAAGCTCTCAAATGGTGTTTTGGAAAAGTAAGAGAGAGAGTGGAAGTGTAGAAAATGATTCAAAAATGCCCAGCTACCCTCTGTTATACGACATTCCCGCTCGAGTGAAAAACATAGCGCTCGAGCGTCAAAAACAAAAACTAGATCCCCTCGAGCGCAAGAAGGCCCGCTCGAGGGCCAAGACACAAGAATAAAGTACATCCGCTCGAGCCCGAAAATCAGTCCGCTTGAGCGTAGATTTTCATCTCCCAGAACTTTTCAGAAAAAAAACTACTTGCTCGAGCTCCAACAATCCCGCTCGAGCGCGACCCGCTCGAGCGTAGTAAACCCACTCGCGCGTAGAAAACACACCTGCAGAAGTTTTGTAGGGACACGAAATACTGAAAGGGCGTAAACCACGCTCGAGCGCAGAATGACTCGCTCGAGCGGACCATACAAAAACTGGGCAGCAACTATGGGAGCAAAAGCTCTACCAACCTGTAACAACCAAACTTAACACAACCTATAACTCAAACAAATGGAATTAAAGGACGACAACAAAGTAGATATAACTACTAGCTCTACGGAACCAAAGTCCGGAATACAACAGATACAGAAAGGGAAAATCGAGATCGCTATATTCATCATCTTCAGACATCTTGTCTGCTGCCAAATAAGTATGTGTGTTACCGGGAAAAATATTCAATGCTGCAGTATTGATGGCACTCACATCATCATTCCGTGCAGAAAGAATTGTACGTTCAGTTAAAAATGTTGCAGTCGATGTCATTGCCACATCCAGTTGCGGATAAACTACTGAGATTATGTCTTTTAGATCTTGGCATTTGTGTATTGTTGATGGAAGTTTAACAATTTCTTGAGGATTGGTCCCAATTTATTTATAAAAATAAATAAATAAAATAGTAAGTAAAATCAATTAAAGTACATAAACGTAAATGTATTTCGTCAATTTAAAAGAACCATATAATAGAGAAAAAGTTTGAAGAAATATTACCTCCATCAAGAATTTTGTAAAATTAACATTTCCAAGATTTGCATGATTCAAGCGCATGTTCAAATTTAAAGACAGAACATGTATATCCTTCCATAGAAAAGAGTGTCTTAATGATGCATTCACAATTTGCTCATGGACTCCTTTGGTTATAACTGGTAAGATTTGTCGAAAATCTCCACCAAGAACAACAGTGATACCCCCAAATGGCTTTTCACTATCACAAGTGTCACGAAGTGTGCGATCAACTGCCTCAACACAATGTCTATGCTGCATAGGAACTTCATCCCAGATTATAAGTTTTGTTTCTCTAAACAATTCTGCTTGTAATGATTGCTTGCTAAATCCACAAATTGAATTTTCCAATACGTCCAACGGAATGAAAAATGTTGAATGAGTAGTACGGCCTCCTACCAATAACAATGATGCAATTCCAGGTAAAGCCACAGTAATAACAATATGGCCAACGCTGCGACACTTCAATGCAATCGCATTGTACAAAAACGTTTTCCCTGTTCCGGCGCCTCCATTCAAAAAGAAAGTAGTTCCCTTATTTTCAAAGACTGAGGAAGTGATTGCATCATAAGCTGTTCGTTGATCATTATTGAGGTGATCAATAATAATTTCTGCATCTGCCTGTTGTGCCTCATTCTGCAGTTGTTGATGTTCAAATATCAACCTGTTACCAACTATTGCACTCTAATTTGTAGAAGGTTGTGGCATTGGCGGGAAGTCAATTAAACTTTTTCCTGATTCTTGGAGCATTTGATTCAAAAGATATAGACCATAGTCTTCAATTTGAGCCTCAGTTGGTTCAGAAATGGCAAACAATGTTCGAATCTTATGTGCAAGATCATCACATACATACATTGAAAATTGATTCCATAACACATATGGTTGCAGTGGAGAGCACTGAGTAAGAATAATAGTAAATAATCTCCTTAATTGATAACCAGTTTTCATAACTGCAGCCTCTTTAAGGCATTGTATCCATCTTTCATCATCTTTTAAAAGTCCTCTTGTAACACATGCTGGTTTAAACGTATCATGCAAAACATTGTTGACCGTACGTAAGCACTGAAACGATTTTGGTCCTTTGACAACAGTTAATAGCAAACGCAAATAAAATCTCTCACCACAATTAGGGCTAGCAAAGTACATTCTACCGATTGCATAGCCCTGCTGCCTTGGTTTCCATCTCTTTTTTGAATTAAGCCAAACAAAATGTTGTGGAAATTCTTAGTAAGTGAATGGACATTCATCTTCCATAGAAGCGCAACATGAAAAAAAACCAGTAAGAGTTGACATTTGTTGGCCAGCTCTAGAAACAATTGCTTCTAATGATTCATCAGGATTAAAAAGAACGCGGTGCATCCCAAGTAAATGAAGTGCTAAGCGTACAACTGTTGGTATCTCAACATGCAATGGATGACCAAATATTTGCCGAGCAGCTTCTGGAGGTCCAATATACCTCGCATCGAGATATTGTTGGATCTCATTTATCAATCCCAACACCATCGTTGTACGATCATAACCCTTGTAAATGTACTTGTGTATATACTTGACACATCTCATTCCGGCACAAACTTCCACGTTTATGTGACAGTTAAAACGTTTAGAAAGATATACATTGTATGGTACAATGTCTCTATTATCAACTTCTTTCCCCCTCACAATATGAACTTGACCATTATTGCAACGACGATAGATAGGAAATCCATCTGGATCCATAGTAGTTGTTTCTGCAAACGCTGGGGGGTATCTCTTAGTGCATTTACCATTTTCCATACATGGTGCTTGTGGATTTCAAGCACCACATGGTCCATGTACCATACAACACTTGATAATTTCAAAAAGTATAGGTTCATCTTTTGGATCTGAAAATTCTGCACAAACCAATTTGTCTACTTGAGCACATGTCCGAATTTGGTCTGGACTCTTAAGAAATAGAAGTGCATGCATATGAGGAAGGCCTCATTTTTGGAATTCAATTGTAAAAACATGCGCAACTTTATTACCAAACACTCGGTTTATTTCTATCTCCTTCATCAAGCACTTTCTCTTTAATTCAAAAACGCGGGCAATTAAATCAGGACGATCAATAGGCTTTTGGTGCGGTAATAATGCTGAAGTAATTTCTGGCCAATTAGGATTTGCAGTCATGGTAAGAAAAATGTCTGGATGTTGGTTGTATCGTGTGATAGCCATTGAGTCTTGAAAGATTTTAAACATGTGTCTAGGACCTCCAGGAAATGAAGATGGCAAAACAAACCTTTGGCCAATTTGATTGGGCTGAAGGTCATTTGGATCAATATCTGTCAAATCTTGGTAAAGTTCAGTACGGAATTTCCCTTGATTAAGCTTGTAGTAAGTCAACCTATTTTGTTCAGTTGCGGCCCAAGCATCAACCAAAAACTCTTGGAACAATTTTCCAGCTCTCAAAATTGTTGAATACTCTGTGGGTCGTTCAAACAAACGATAACTATAAAAATCCATTTGAGTAAGCCGATCAGTTGAAGACCGATCATGTTGAACATCCCACAGTTTCATCTCAGGTTCCCATCCAAGCTCACCATGTGGAAATAATAAAACATAATGTAATGGCAAATATGCTGGGTGACATTCATTGATTTGCATTAGCTCATTATTTCCTTGTAGATGTAAGATAACATCTCTCATTCCACTAACCTTGGTTCCATCACCTGGTATTACAACTACAATCTCATCTGTAGTTGGTAGGTTATACCATTGTCGATCTGTCGATGAACTGTAGTGGAGATGAGCAGGCAAATTTCATCCTATCAAGGCTAATTGATTTAAAATTACATGAGCCCGGCGAAATTTAGTAACGAATGCATTAACCTGTAATAAACTATCTTGAACAGTTTTTAGAACATCTCTTCTTAATTGAGGATTTCTACGATTGCGAACTTCTAAAGCTGAATCAGGGTCATAAATGTACAATTGTGCATAAGCTGCATCTTGCCCTGATTGTGGTAGTAGTGATCCTGTTCGATGTCACAATTCCCCATGGATAGTGAATGATGTAAGGCCTCTTCCAGTAAGTACTCTTGGATCTAATGTAGCACCAAGACTTGTAAAAGCATTTGTTGTATTGTACACTCGAGTATGACGTCGAAATGATTTTGATTTATCATCATTCCCATCATATAATGCTTGAAGAAGTGAAGGGGGTGTAATAAGCGGAGGAAGCTTAACCTTCCCTTTTGAACAACATGTTCCGAATAGAGGACGGTTTGGAGATGATTTTACTAATTTTTCATCCATCCAATGTAATGCTGAACAGAAAGGACATAATACATCCATCTTGCCAAGAGAATGACGACATGAATTTATATGTGCTCGAGTACTAACCATTTGACTCATATGCATATCCTCTAATTCCTCATTAGTACATAGATCCTCTTGAAGGGAAGGAGTTGTAAGAGTAGGCCTACAAATATTGGTTCTGTGTAAATTAAAATAGAATGGTAATAGTAGGAGTATGTATTTGAAGAATTAAACACAGTCTTTTACCAATTCGTTTGTGGAGCTAAAGATGTGTTTGGCATTGAGAACGAACATGTGGAAGGATGTGCAACCATTGTTTGTTTTTGCGCAGACTGAGTATCCTCAGTTGCCTTTGTTCCTAGTTCCAAGCAAGTACGGCTACGATGACACGGTATTAAAGAAGTTTGTCTCGGTTGAATACATTCTTTTGATTTCTCCCGTTCTCGCCGTGCACGTTGGGCCAATGTAGCTTTTGATATAACATTGTTATTGTGTCCCTAAAATGTGAACATTATATCATTGATACCTAAAATACAAATATTATCGTATACTATTTTATTTTTTGATTCAATAATTTTGTTATTTTAATTATATTTTACTTTTTCTTCCTGCCTTGTGATAATTTTAAGAATATTTTTACATTTTCTTTGTCCTACTTCTTTTTCCATTTTGCTTCATTTTCCCTCTTCATGCCTTGTGATATAACAATTTGTTTTTTAATTATTGTTTTCTCTTTCTTCTTGCCTCATGATAATGTTAAGAAAATTAAAAATATTTTCTATGCCTATGTTTCTCTGTTCCTTTACTTAGATGTTATAAAGTTTTTCTTAGAGTTTATAAAGGTTACAATTATTTTTTAGGAAATGTTAAAGAGAGCTAAATATACTTTGTTTGAGTGTAAAGAAAACAAAGAGCACACAAAAAAAAATTGACAACACAATTTAAAATTTTAAAAACATACATGATCAATGTTCACCTTAACAATATGATTGGCTTTGTTTTACTCGATAAATATTTTTTTTTTAAATGTTGAATATATACCATTGGACATGTGTTTTCCTTTCCTTTGTCAAAAGAAGTTGCCTTTTCTTTTCCTTTAGACATTGCCTTGGCCTTTTCCTTTTCCTTTGCCTACCAAAAATAAGAAAAAATTTAATCAGAATACGAAAAAAGAACATGTATTTATAGAATTTATTAAGATTACGAAAAAAGAATATGTTGAACTTGATTTTTCTACTTACCTTAGAAAAGAATATGTTGAACTTGATTTTTCTACTTACCTTAGAATTGCAGATAATATTAAGATTGCACTCATCGCGAATAACAACACTGATATTCCCAGTCTCATGGAGGAATGGGCTTGCATGAGTAGGCCTACAAATATTTGTTGTGTACAAAATAAAATTTATAAAATAAAATCTTAACAATAAGAATATGCATTTGTAGAATTAAATACAATGTTTTACCAATTCCTTTGTAAAGCTAAAGATGTGCTTGGCGAAGTAAGATGTGCAAACATTACTCCTTTCTAAGTCGGTGGAGTATTAGTTGTGCTCGATGGAATCAATTCTCTCGATCTCTCTCGTTCACGTCGCGAACGTTGTCCCAATTGATATGAAGAGCTTGCCTTATCATTTCTTTCGCGTTCTCGTCGTGCACGTTGAGCCAATGCAGCTTTCGATATAACATTATTGTTATGTGCCTAAAACATGAAGATTAATTTCATAAGATGCCTAAAATATGAATATTATCATCTACTTTTCTCTTCATTTTTCATTTCTATTAATTTACTTTATCTTAATTCCCTTTCCTTCTGATATTTTGTAAAAAAATTGAAAACTTTTTCATTTTGTATCCTTCCCCCCCTTCATTCCTTTTTTGTTTTATTCCTTTTTTCTTCTCTTGTAGATGTTCATGTCAATAGCAAAAAGCCAAAAAAGAATAATAATAATTTAAAACAAATATAATGCTTTTGTACAAATGCTATTTTAGCATGCTTCAAAAAAATGTTTCACAAATTTACATGAAACTGTTTACTATAAAAACAATATATCTCACTGTGCAAGTAGTATGCCAATTTTACATTTGAAAATAAATAAATAAATAAATAATCGAGGTTCATGGTCCAAATAAATATTTCAAAAAAAGAACTTTAAATGGAAATGTTGAAGAGCCATACTACTGAACATGCATTTTCCTTTCCCTTCGCTGAAACGGTGGTCTTTTCGTTTTTCTTCAACAATGCCTTGGCAATTTCCTTTTCCTTTGCCTACAAAAAATAAAAAATATATATAAATAAGAATATACGGTGTATACAGTGTTTTGAAACAAAAAAATCTATATAATTAAATTGGGCCCACCTCTCAAACACGGATGACATTAAGGTCACGCTCATCACGGATAACAACATTAACATTTCTTTCTTGAAGAAATTGGATCTAAAAATACAAAAGAATTAGAGGTAAAAATAAAAATAAAAAAATTATACATGTAAGAAAATGAGTAAAAGGAGTCAATATTACAGTTCGACGTAAGTCTCCATCCATTTGTAAATTTAAGAAAAGAGCATTTTGTTATAAGGAATTAGATAAAAAAATAATGAAAATAAAAGAAAATTGACTTTTGCTTATAAGAAAAATGTTTTTTTTTTTTTCAAATAAATAAAAAAGAAAACAACTTACGTGACCAAAAATAGTAATGTTGTCCATAATTAGCAGTTGAAGGTCAATGGTGTCTCAACCTAAAAGTGCCTAGTTATATAAATTTGACAAAGATAACTGTATGAAGGCAAAATGAGGTTTAATAATTGCCATAAAGAGAAATTAATCGCTACAAAATTAACAACCTCCTTGTACGAGAAAGAAATAAACATTCTCGTATAATCCTGTTGATCAAGTCTGCGCTCCTCCGTACGACATCGCTTTACTCCCTGAAAACACAAACGTGAGCTAGCCGGCGGGTGTGTGTCGGATACCTCTCCGATGCCTAAGTCAGAAAAATAGACAAATAGACAAAAGCTCTGCGTATTCGGGAATCAAAGTTGTGTTACCTCTCCATAGGTGATGTTATGAGCTTTTATAGGTTCCGCGTGGCGTAATCCTAGTAGGACTTTTACTCCTCCATGTAGAGTCCTCCTATGAATCACATTCTTGAAAGATAATGCTTATCCTTCAATACCCCCCTCACTGCTTAAACCAAGTGAGATGGTTTTACCTAGGTCAGATGTCAATACGACCGGGATAACATGGCCGTGCTAAAGCCGTAGAATAGACCGAGCTCTACCTAGCTCGGTTCTTCCTTTCACTGCGTGTACCTTGGTTTCTTTTGTACAAACCATACTAATCTATAATGTGCTTAGGTCGTGCTAACGAATGGCTAGGTTTGACCGAGCTAACTGCATTATGCTACGACCGGGCTAACTCTGAGTGTGGTGACCGGGCTATCTGCAAATCTCTCATGGACCGGGATAACAATAAGGCTTTCTAGGACCAGGCTAACTCCAAGACTCTCTTGGACTGGGCTAACGCCTAGACCCTTTTACTCCGCCCTTCTTACTGTGGCCCACAGCGGCCCATTACCCAGCTCGGCCCAATTTATATATAAATTACCCTCTCAATTGCCCCTTAATTCCATCTGCACAGCATGATAGGGATTACTTGTTATGAGCCGAGCTAAAAAAACTTTTAGCATTCCAGCCGAGCAAAAAACTTTTAGCGTTCCAACCGGACTAAATTCACACCGGGCTCTGTCTGTCCGGTCAAAACGTCTCTTCAATCGCAGCAACTGAATTGCTTCTCATTCCAAGGACACGTGGCAAACTCTCGTTGGCCATATGTAGCTATCACGCCGTCTTCGTACCTTGCGTTTTTTGAATAGTCCCGCCATTTTCTTTCCCTCTTTTTACAAAACCAAAACCCTTGGTTTTTGAATCAATCATTTTGCTATTCACCTTCTCTCTCTCCCTTGCTTCTGATCTTCCATTGCTCCTCAAACTTGCAACTGCAAAGCTCGTGAATCCCTCCAGCGCTGTTTCCAACTTCCGGTTCCTTCCTCTTCATCTGGTAAGCTACACATATTTTTCTTGTTTTCGCACTTGTTTAATCCACAGCATATTGTTTGTGTTTTTGCAAAACACATGTTTCCCATTTTTTGTTCTGCCTTGTGTTTGCTAGGAAAGAACCTTGTAAAAACCATTTATATTTATGAAATAATCTGCAGAACATTGTATTTGATCCAAAATCACCATCTAACCGAACTAGAAAGTCGTTTGTGGTTGATGTCAGTCTGGCCAGACTAACCAACCGAACTAACACTTCGCGCTATACTAGTAGTTTCAACAAGTCAAACCATCGTTTGATTCATTTTCACCGAACTATCGAACTGTACTAAGTCTACCCAATAATGTGCTTGAATGCCTTAACCATGACTGAGCTACAGCTTGGGGCTAAACCAACCCTCTTAGTCAAGACCGAACTAAGAACGCTGCCCCTAGGGGCTTAACCGGGCTAACAAACACCTTGCTCAAACCGAGCTAAGACCCCCAGTATCTCACATAGCTGAGCTAGGACTTCATTTATCTTGCCTTTATTTGTTTTAGCACGGTCCAAAGATCTGTGCTTAACACCTTTGTTTTTCGCTTTGCAGACTTAGGTTGCCCAGGCACTCCTTTGAGCGCTCAACCAAGCTACTTAACATCATTCTTCGACCAAGCTAACACTCCAGTTTAATTTATTCATAACTTAAACCATAAATGGGAAAGTATAGGTTCTTAGTTAACTCACCAGGTGCCATGGCCGAATTTCGAAAAGATTATAACATCCCTGATAATGTCCATCTCTCCCTAGCCGACCTGGATATCCTACCATGGGGAAAACACGGCTTCGTTCTCTTTACCCTGCTGTCCATAGTAGATACCGGACTAAGATTCCCTGTACAGGCTCTCCTCTGTGAATTCCTTAGGCAGACCAACCTTTGCCCAACCCAACTTTCCACCAATTCTTACCGTATAATAAATGGTATTGCTGAGCTAAACCCCCGGGCTAGCCTTAATCTCGGTTTAGTCGAGCTGTTCCATCAATATTCTATAGGCTCCGCCGAAGATAGATGGGTCTATTATTTAAGAATAAGACGCCGGCGAGAAAAAATAATAAAGGATACCCTGGATAAAGACGTAAATGATGATGACTTCCTCTGGGTGTTTGGAAATTTTGAGGACCAACAAGCCCAGATCCCTGGTGATAGAATAAATTGGAACAAGGGTGTAGTCAGTAGAGTTACCTCGGCCTCATACTATGCCTTTCTTTACATCGGTTTTCTCATCTTAAACCGCACTAACTGTTGGTCTTTTTTTATGTAGATTTGAACTTCCTCAAGTCCCAATACAGTTACCCCAACTTGAATATACTTCGCGCCGCCCTGCCATATCCCAACCGAAGTTGGACCGTGCTATTGGAGTTTCAGCCGACCTACCGATATAGTGGCAAACGGAAGACCAAGGTAACTGACTTCTTATTGGAAGCCTCTTCGGAACCGGACCCAAACTTGCCCCAAATCGGATTGATTCCTCTAACCGTTGAGCAAGAGATGGCCAAAAAATGAGCTGTGAGGGCCCTTTTGACTGAAACAAACCAAGCCGAGGTACCACTAGCAAGTCAACCCCAAGAGACCGTGATAGCCTTACCGACGCATCAGCCCTCTTCATCTCGTCCAAACAAGCGTGCTCGAACTTCCACGACCGAGCCGCGCCTTGTTGATGAAGAGGATACCATTCCTCTACCAAGCCCTCCACGAAGCTCACAACCGGAGCGCTCTGACCGAGCTAACTTTTCTAAGTGGGCTCCAAAAATCACTTTTCAGAACCATGCTATACGGGATACCGACTCAATGGTTGCTGAAAAAGACCACCTAATGGCATTCAATCTGGCCAAGAGTGTTTGCCTTCCACCTGACATGGAGCACCATGACCACCTAACCGAGCTGAAGGCCCTTCGCTCATCCATGAAATCCATGGTGCTGGTAAGTAGCTTATTTGCTTATCTTTCAATTTTTTACAACTTTCTGCTCGGTCGTATTTAAAAAAGTTTCTCTCCATCCTTTTGTAGGCTATATAGAAGAACCATATCGCTCATAAGCGAGTGTTGGAGCTTCACAAAACCAGTAGGCAGGCCATGGCCGAGACTAATGAAAAGGCGGCCGAGCTAAAAGAGTCCCAACAGAAGACGGCCGAGTTAGAGGCCGAGGTAGCTCGACTCACCCGGCTAGTTACCTCAGCTGATGCTGATAAACAAAAGGCCCTAGCCGTGATAAAAGATAAATATCTGCGCGAGCTGGCCAAGCTTGAAGGAAAAAAGAATACCGAAATAACGATGCTTGAGAAGAAGCTGGAGGATGCGGAGGACCGCGGTTTCAAAGATGGTGAAGCCCTATACATCAAGCAGTGTGAAGCTGCAAAGGACCTGTTCTTTAAATGCGGGTGGAGGGGGGCTGTCTTGCAGCTCGGTCATGGACCTGAGACCGAGGTCTTCAATCCTCCTTCATATTTTATACCGAGCTCATTGGCGGAGTATGCTGCTACCATTCAGCAACAATTTCTGGAGGAGGAGGATGAAGATGAAGCTCCAGAAGACAACACTCAACCCGGTCTCAGGTCTACCTCCCCAACTCCAGAGGTCTCCATCCCACCCTTGCCAACTGTTGCTGATGTTGTGATTCCAACCAAGCTTAACTAGAGCGTAGTTGTCACAACCGAGCTACCTCTGGGTGAAAACCGGGTGGTTTTAGATGCTGATTTAGATGATCTGTTTGCTTGATTTATGTATTTTTCTTCTTTTTTGCTATTTTAGAAAGAAGTTGTAACCGGGCAGAGGCCCCTCATTTTGTACTTGATTTGCACTTAATGAAATCCTCTTTTGTTCCAATTGTTATCTCGGTTTACTTCTATGCCAGTACTTGCTTTCTAACTGTAATCTGAATGAAGTATAACCTTCTCTTGCCGAGATACTTTATCCCGGTCTTTAGATTTCCAATCTATCAAGCCATAGTTGCCAACCTCTTCAGCCTAGATTATTATCTCGGCTGAAGAACAATAAGTGTTGGTTTTTCCAGCCAACCACTCTTCAGCCTAGATCCTTATTTCGGTTGAAGAGTACAAAGTGTTGGTTTTTCCAGCCAACCACTCTTCAGCCTGAATCTTTATCTCGGTTGAAGAGTACAAAGTGTTGGTTTTTCCAGCCAACCATTCTTCAGCCTGAATCCTTAACT